CTCTGTTTCAAGAATAAGGACCCTGAAGTTTTCATATCAGGTCGACTCCCTTAGTAAAACCTAGGATGTCCCTGATATTCGCTTTCACGATTTCCTTTGATTTCGGATACTGTGTCCCAAAGTGCCGCGTGTTTGCCATCTAAGGTTAGGACATTGACAGCGAGTCTTCTGCTAGCTTCATTGTGTTGAGGTGTTTTCTGAGAGGGTAGAGTCAACAATCCAACCACATCTCGTACATCTCTCAATTGTCTCCTGCTTAAGCTAAGCGCTAAGCAGTTCTTCTGTTCTGCTCTTAGATGGTCCTTCTATGAAGAGTTTGGACTGCTTGAGTCAGGAAGTTCCATCCAGAGTTTTTTGTGTTACCCCTATAAGATAATACCAAAAAAAATAGGGATCAGTAGGTTTTTGAGCTGCGTGACTTGGATCCTAAAAAAAATTGGCTGCGGCTTGATTCATTCACAACAGCCTCCAAAATAAAATACTGATCTGACAGGCCGGGCCGGTGCCAACGGTTTCCCGGGCCGGTTTTATGCTCTCCATCCGCACCTGCTAGGGCAACTGATCCAGTAAAAGCAATATACCATTTTGTATTGCGATAGAAAAATAGAAAAACAATTATTATGAATTTCAATGTACTTATTTGTTTATTAATTAAACTAGGGGCTGTCATCCATCCGGATTTCCACGGATTTGTTCTAATTTTTAGGGAGACGTCCGCTAGGATTTTTTGAAGTTAACGTTATGTCCACACATTACTTCTTTTAAGGCTTTAAATACATAAATGTTTTTCGGAGTGGCACCCTAAAAAAAAATGTTTTTGAAGGCTTAAAATAAACTTTTTTGGGCGTACTCTCATCACCACCTGCCAATTCTATGTGCCAATTGGTCAATTGGTTTCTAGGAACGCTTTTATTTGAAAGCGCACGCCTCCATGGACAAAGCGTCAAAGCAACAATTTTTCAATTTTCAGGTTTTGCAGCTGCGATACTATTGAAGCTGAATTAGTTAATCAAATATTTGTAGAGAATTTAGTTGGCTGCAGACTGGCTGCAGCGTTGTGAGACAAAATTTGCATAAACCCTATTTGTTTTTTTTTTTTCGATTTTCGAATAGGAGGTCATGGAAAACCAAAAATGGTGTGGTATAGCATTGTTTTTCTAATTGACAACAAAACTGTTTTGACACTGTCGATGCAAATTATGTAAACCTTGCTGCTAATTTTTATTTCGAAAAAATGTTTAACTTATATTGGGACTACCCGTCTAATAATTAATTACCTACCACAGAAAAACGACAGCAAATCGAAAGATGCTTCTACCAACTTCACAAAATGAATTTGAACGCTTCGAAATTATATTCCATATCACATCAGAATAAAACAACTAATAAGTAGGTATGATTTGGACACTATTGCCTGGCCAGGATGCGTATTTCGAAAAACGTCCTCATTTGGTATCCTACATGGTGCCGAAATCTGAACGCATTAATCGACTCAAGATGTGCGTGAAAAACGTACTTGAATCATCAACTCGAGGAGACGTATTAGAGACGCATTTCTTGCGAGATTTGCAGCAAATGAGCAAGTAAATCCGTCTCGATATCATCCCTGCTATTGTTAAACTGAAACGAACGAAACATATGCGTGTGCCGTTTAGTTTATTTGTTTATCTACGAGTAGCACGTGGCGAGCTTAAAAAACTAAACATACACTCACAATTTATTATATTGTTTGAAGTAAATAAAAACAAAAAATTAATGAAGAACAATGTAAAAGCTTTATAAGCTCCATGGTTTCCGATTTTTTCCTGTTGCATGTGCAATATGAAGGAGAAGAGCAGTTTGAAGTGACATTACAGTGTGAATTATTGCGGGGTGAAAGCTTTGATAAAAAAGCGTATTTCCAAAAGTGTTCGATTTGAATTTTGTAAATGATTTGTCTGTCAGCATTCTGCCCGAAATAAACGTAAAGGTGATCTACGAAATTACAGCTCTTTGGCAAGCATTACCATTAAGTTCTTGAAGGAAACAGTACTACATACGAAGAAAAAATCTGCTCTACTGATGTACGTATTGAGATAAATTTTCACCATTCACATCGGCTTCAAGTAGCTCAAGCATACAATTTATTGCGCTGTAGTGAAGAAACGAAATCCTTATTTCTTTCCTATTTTGAATCAGGAATGACACCCGCCTCAGCAAAAACATTCCATGAAATGCACATGGCCCAAACTATAGAAAAAGACCTTTTTATATATCTAGCAGATGCCCAGACAAATCCGACAGACGCCCAATTGAATTATTTGTATAAAAAGTGGAGATTTCAAAACTATGGAAACAGAGATACAGCTAGTGCATTCGAAATATTAAGAAAAAAGGTAGCTGATGTTGCTGATCTTGATGGAGAGCTATATTTGTCGGAAAATCCAAACATCGTTGTAATTATTACACCAATTATGAGAAGAGTGTTTCTAGCCGAATTAACAAAAGACATCATATTTATTGATTCAAGTGGGTCGTGCCATCAGAGCAATACATGTGTGACATTAATTTTTGCTCCCACCAAAGTGCCAGTGGCTAGTCAAAGTAAGATCAATTATTTGCTAGTATTTGAAGCAGTTAAAGAAAGCTTGGAAAAGCTAGGTAATGCCTCCTTTGAACCCAAAGTGATAATGACAGATGACTCCTCCGCTGAACGAAATGCTCTTAAAGCTGTGTTTCCAAATGCTACATTATTATTATGTATTTTCCACACGTGACATTAGCCTTGTGGCGTTGGCTGTGGTTAAGAGAAAATAACGTTCAAAAGGATGCACGTAAATTAATTATGAATATGTTCCGAAATGTAATATACGCTAAAACGGAACAACAGGCAACCGACTTTATGGATCATATTCTCTCACACGAATTAGTGAGCTCCAATGAGAAAGTAAATAAACATCTCCAACATTTATGGAACTGCCGCGAAGAATGGACATTAGCATTTCGTAGTCAGCTTTTAAACAGAGGTCATAACACAAACAATTACTGTGAGGCATCCATTCGAATATTTAAAGATGTTGTGCTCCAGCGTTGTAAAGCATTTAACATGTGTGCATTAGTGGACTTTGTAACAAAAACATTTGAACTTTACCACAAAAAAAGGTTAATTAATTTTGCTAATTCGAGGAAGGATATAATCCCGATATTCCTAATGGAAATCTCCAGCCTCCATTTTTTATTAAAAGTATCGATCCGAAAGCAAAAATGGACTATATTGACAACGTGAATAAAATCAATGAACAGTTTGAACGCATAACTACAGTTATCAAAAATGACATAAATGAAGATAATATGAACAACATTTCCAAGTTTGTCAAAGTTTTAGAAAATCTGCAAACACCTGCACAAATTATGACGTTCATTTCCGATAAAACAGCGCAACGACGAGCCAGCAAAATAAAAGTACAGCCGACTGCCATCGCCCGAAGAAAAAAATAGAAATATTACAGGAGGCAGGGTGCAATCTGGCCGACCAACTAATATTGAGATAAAAACCAGAAAACGATCACATAACATGCCACTAAATATTGATTCAAATCAACCGCCTGCAAAAAAATATTAGGTCATTAGGTAATACAAATTTGAACATGCCTTAATTGCCATATCTTATCTTAAGTTGTTATTTTTTTCATATCTTGAGTTGATATTTTTTTCATTTCTAGATCTGTAATATTTTGGTAATATTAGCAAAAATTTTTTTCTATTTTGTACCATCTTGTCCCCATATGTTTCTCTGTAATAAAATCGTCCATGTAGTCATAATTCCAAATTTTATTTATTTTCTGTTGGTTCTTGGTATATTTTCCAATTATTTAACACGCAAATAGCAGGGACGGAATCAAAACGGATTTACTTGCTCATTTGCTGCAAATCTCGCAAGAAATGCGTCTCTAATACGTCTCCTCGAGTTGATGATTCAAGTACGTTTTTCACGCACATTTTGAGTCGATTATTGCGTTCCGATTTCGGCACTGTGTAGGAGACCAAATGAGGACGCTTTTCGAAACACGCGGCCAGGATAGGTATCTAAAGCTAGGGGGCATGGGTGAGGGGACTGCAGTTGTAATAAAACATGGCTGATTTCATTCATAAAATACCCAGCTGCGTGCGGATTAGTATATTACATATATTGCAGCTCATACACGAAAATCAGCAATGACCAAGCCACCCCCACTGGATATTTCAATATACATAAGTCGATATTTCAAGATGAAAGGATAAAATTATGGGCCTGACCCATAGCGAGACGGAATCCCTATGGCAACCAGATGGGTCTCCACGGCAACGGCCATCTTGCCAAAAACTCCACCAATCAGGTACGTCCAGACCGCATGTTTTTCCCAAATTGACAAAAGCGGATGGTATCTTTAGAAAAGGCAAAATCGAATAAATCAGTTCTTAAATAAAAAATATCTACATCTAACATCCATTTAAAAATATTTTGCGTTTTCCTATTATCGATATTTTGTTATTAAAAAATTAATTCTAAAATGAACTATACTTCATGTCTAGTATTTTTGCTTTTTTATAATTAAACATGGCAACACTGAACATATTCGGCCCAATTCCTTCTATAGCTTCAGATCCCTGCCAGACATTAGGTAGAACGATTGCTTGTTTTGTAAAATTGTTTGAATTATGCTTATGAAACAATGCTCATCAATTGTTTCACTAAAATCTAATACAAATACTAACTTTTGGCCACCTGGTTTTCATCTTGACAGAAAAGTTAGCCTCAAATTTGCCATAATCAAACCTTGTTGGGGATTTTTTGTTTATATATCATGGCTACCATAATCTTTCCAGAGTCTCCTAGCCACCCATTCTAAAAAAAAAATTGGGAATGGATATCCAGAGATTGGTATAACATTTAAAAACATAACTTTTTAAATTTGGAAATTTTGCAGCTGGGAAACTATTAAAGCTGCGGTGAAACATTTAACCAGAGATTTGAAGAGGATTTAACTGGCTTGACTTACGTTAAAATCTGATTGAAATTAAGATGTGGGGCAAAAAAATCAAGAAAAAAAAATAAATAAAAAAAACAACAAAGATTTATTTTCGGTGAAGCAAAAAAAAACAATAAATCACCAATAATTGAAACAATTTAATTAAAAACACTTGAACTGATTAAACTATGAATATAAAGTTTTTTGTTGGTCCGTCCCCTTTGAGAAACCAAATCTTAAACGTTTTATATCTCTCTCTATTCAACCCAACTCCCTTCAATGCGATAAACATCGAAATTGTAAGCAAAAAAGCGCAAAAGCAAAAAGTCTAGTCTTTGCGTAAACGATCCAGTTTTGCGCCGACGACGCTTATCCCACATCTACCAAAAGAAAATTATTATTCCTAATGAAATAAGTTCAATTAATTTCAAACCTTAGTTACATTTTTCAGATCTCTGACAACTTCATCCATGTTCAAATATTCTTCGTCGAAAAGTTTCCTTGTGATTTCATACAAGTCCTCCTATGAAATATATAAATAATTTAATTGCAATTTAAAAGACGAATAATATGTAGGTACCTCTTCCTCAGTCCCCCAAACAAGCTCCATTACGCGCTTGACCAAGTAATTCACAATGTACCCTGCTCCATATTTGGTGATGTATTTCGCCTTTTTGGGAACAAAGTCTCCAGGCTTCATGTAGACTCTTTTCGGATCGGAAATGGCCAAATCCTCTGAAAAATGGTTATTGCCACTCAAGTATTTGCGATTATAGTTTTCCTCGGCGTCGGAATCTGGAACGGTTTGATTAGCTGGGTTGGCCGTTTCTTTAACCGAAACTACTGGCAAATGGATTATGCCTTTGGGAGTGATTTTTGAGGATTTGGTCAGAGTGGATGCGGAGGAGCAGGTAAAGGCCGAAACTACTGGCAAATGGATTATGCCTTTGAGAGTGATTTTTGGGGAGTTGGTCAGAGAGGATGCGGAGGAGCGGGTAAAGGGTAGTTCGTTTTCTACAGTTTCTTCGGAAGAGCTATTTGTTAGGTTTACCTGAAAATAATCGGGTACTAAAGGTCAGGTATTTGCCCTGTTTGGCGCTACACAAAAGAGACTCACTTTTATCATATAATCCTATTATGATAAAAGTGAGAATGCTTGACCCGTGAGAGGTAGAAACTGCTATGATGCTGCATGAGGCTTGTTAAAGGACGAGAAGGTAATATCAATATCGTTGAATTTGTTATAAGTTTCCTTAGGTTTCAACCACCGTCAAATCGTAGAAGGGTCAGGTCTTTTTTTCTGTCAAGAGCACTGTAAGCTCCTTTTTAAACAACAAAAATTTCAAATTTGGCCTCTCTGTTTGTCTTGGAGACTGCCTCTCTCATTCATAAGAATGCTTTGTTGGCTCAGAACAATGTTCAAACAACCCATAATACCAGGTCTGCCAGCAACTTGCCATTGCTGATACCAAAAAAGTCTCAAGTAAAGCAATCTCTAATTTATGGAAGTAAAAAAATTAGCGATTACCTTCCCCTAACAATAAAAAATGTCCAATGTCCTAAAGACTTTAAGAAACAATTGAAAAATGTATTGCTTTTGGAGGCATTTTATACCCTGGAAGAGTATTATGAACATGAATTTTAGATTTCAATGTTGATTTTTAAGTTAGGAATCTGTGTCCCAGAGTACTCCATTTCGATTTGATTTGTGTTTTTTGTTTGCTTGTGTTTCTGTGTGTTTGATTAGTCGTAATTATATAATAATTGTTCTACCACGCTAGTTATAATTTTCATGCTTTGTCAATAAGATTTATCTCTTTCAATAAAGTACATTGAAATTTGAAAAAAAAAAAAATGAGCTGCATAATTAAATCTCCTAAAGACTGTAACAAACTACAGTACAATCTTAACAACCTGCAAGACTGGTGCAATAGAAATTACATGGATCTCAATCCTTCTAAATGTAAAGCCATTACTTTTTCGCGTGTTAAAAACCCTATTAAATTTAATTATCAAATTGGTCGACACACCCTTGAGGAGGCTTCCATTATCAATAAAGACCTTGATGTTTCACTGGACACAAATCTCCATTTCTCCAATCACTTAAATAATGCAGTAATAAAGCTTCAACTGGACTTAATACATTCATCTCCCCAACAGCTAGACTCGCAAACAAGCAACAAAATTGACCTTTTTGTTCATGTTGTTACTTAATTTTAATTTTATTTTTATTTTTTTATTGTTATCTTTGTTTATTTTGATCTGGTTAATACTAACTATTCTCAACTTGTAGTGAATAGAGTGTTTAACATTTTGTAAGTGGGCTCGCCTGGTGATAAATGAATAAATATGTGAATAAATAAAGAGTGGAGTGTACCAAGTGTCAAAACAGGGTAAATGCGAGATGTTAATAATTGTAACAAAGCTGACTTACAACTTTGAAAGGACGTATGGGATCGAGTGCGACCCTAATATGCGGGATAAGAAAAAGCACCCTCTGTTGCTTGATTGACGGGTTATATACACCGACTCCAAAACTCAAAAACGGCAAACCGAATGGGGGCAGGAATATAAGGAGAACGACCCAAGATGAATGTCAGCATATGACTGGGGAATGAAACCACCAAGCAGAAGTCTTCGCTATACATGAGTGCATCTAACAAAGCATTACGTGAGGGTGTAAAATCCAAAATGTAGCTATTCTCACAGATAGCCAAGCAGCACTAAAAGCGCTGGATTCCTATCACATCACTTTCTTGAATGACGATGGAGTGCCTCACTGACCTGAAGCAGCTTGCTAAGGAAAACAAGGTTCGACTCATATGGATTCATAGCCACTCAGGGATAGAGCAAAACGAAAAAGCAGACAGGCTGGTGAATGCTGGAGCCTACGCCGATTTTAGGCCCCAGGCCCAGTTTTGGAATATGGATCCAACTGGTGAAGTCAACACTGGAGAACTGGTCGAAAAGACAACATTTGGCTTTTTGAAATACAACAACTGACATGCTACGACTTACGCGCACACAGATAAGACAAATGATAGGGCTATTGACAGGACACTGTCACTTAGGAAAGCATCAGCACATAATGGGGATATTCAATCGACCCACTGAATGCAGACTATGTGGAGAGGAAGACGAAACAGCTACCCACATCATATATGACTGTGTGGCCCTATCACACAAAAGATACAGACTCTTCGGGGCAATACAGACCGGGGATATACTACCGCCTGAGAATCTTGTTCAAATGCTATTAGAGCTGATACAGGGAACAGGACTCCTGTAGGCAAGAAGGAAATTGGGGTGCACAATAAGCCAACAGGCTGCAGTTCATGGAAGGCCACAGCGCCTAGATCCCCCTTACAACCAACCACCAACAGTTTTTTTACGCAAAGGCCATGTTTTAGACATAACAAAATAACATTAATTAAGTCGCAGAGACTTCCTCCAAAGTTGGACGAGATTCATAATTTTACATTGAACAAAATTTCCCACTTAGTTTGTTTGACAGTAACTAGGATTACTAAGGATTTTAATGATTTTGAATTGGAAATTGGAGGATATGAGGTTATAAGAGTAAATAGTGAAAACAGGCACACTGGCGGTGTTGCTTTGTATTTTAAGAACGGTATAAAGATTAGGAGTGTTGATAGATTCCAGAGGCAAAACAATTAAGTACTTGTTTATTGCGGTTGAGTTAAATATTTGGGGCAAGAATTACTTGTTGGGTGTATTATATCATTTACCCCTCGATTCGCCCAGTGCAAGTGATGCAAAGTTCTCAAATTTTTATGAGCAAGGATGTAAAGGGATAAAGCATACTGATCGGGCGGTACTGATTATGGGTGATTATAATACTAATTGGTGGACAGGCAAATCAACTCATACCAATAAGCTTTAAAAAATTGTTAATGACGCGGGACTGTATCAAATAGTTGAAACAGCAACGCATCCCTTGGATACCAGAAGGAGTTTAATAGATTTCGTTATAAGTTATAACCAATCATGAAGAGCATTTTATAAATAAGGTGGTGGAGACGCCAAAGATAAGTGATCATTATACAGGGTGTCCCAAAAAGATACCGACAAACTTTAAGGGGTAGTAAGGGACATCAAAACAAGCATTTTTGTTTATATAAACATATGTCCGCAAATTACTTTTATTCTTCGCAATAATTAAATCACAGTTCACTTATTAATTTTGCTTTATCAACAAATAAATTATAGTTTACAATAATTGTTCAAAATTTTGACCATTTACTTCAATCCAAAGATTGCACCGTCGGGTCATTGACTGAAAAGTTTAGTCTACAAAACACCTGTTCGTAATGAGGAAGATCTGTTAGTAAGGATACTAGCGAGTTATATCCATGTAGAAGCTATTTCCGGAATATTCCAAAGAGTTCGCGAGTCAATGACCCGACGGTGCAATCTTTGCATTGAAGTAAATGGTCAACATTTTGAACAATTATTGTAAACCATAATTTATTTGTTAATAAAGCAAAATTAATAAGTAGGTAAACAGTGATTTAATTATTGCGAAGAATAAAAGTACCAAACAGTTTTTTGCTATACAGCCTAAATGGCTCATTTGCGGACATATGTTTATACAAACAAAACCGCTTGTTTCGATGTCCCTTACTACCCTTTAAAGTTTGTCGGTATCTTTTTGGGACACCCTGTATAGTGCTGGCACATTTGCAGTCTTCAGGGACATGAAAGGACGACTTATTTCGAGACTCATTTATGAACCCTAGGGGAAAATCATATCGCCAGAGGATGTCACAAAACCTTAATGTGTTGTTTATAGCTAGAGTGAATAGCATAGTTAGGAAGATAGGATGTGGTAAAGTGGATGGTTCAGCAGTGAAAGTTGCAGAGGAAAAAACGGAACAGAGTCGGTTGCAACAATTGAGCTGATTGACATGAAAGAATAATTGGAGAGTATTGTTTTTTCATTACAAGGGAAGTCCGGACGAGATTGCCTCTGAATTTTTAAGGGATACTTTTCAGTCAATTAGATATCCTCTCTTAAATCTTATTGATTCATCTGTCAAGTTCCATCCACACAGTGAAGGTCTCAACAGTGACAACTGGTAAATATGTCGCCTGCAACAGAGAAAATAATGGAAAGGGTGGTTTATGGACGGTTGGTTGATTTTATTGTCCATAATAATATCTTGATTGATAACCAATCAGCCATCAGAAAGGAACATACTTAGTTCTGAATCTACTATTTACAATATAATTTACTTTATAATATCTCTTGGATGAGAATTATGCACTTGGGCCGGGGCTGTGTTCGTGAACTTGAGAAGAGCTTTTGAGAAAATGAACATGGAGATCCTGATAAATAAATTGAAGCAGCATGGAATAGAGCAGAATGCATTGGAGTGGCTAAAGAACTATCTGGAAAGTGGGAAATAAGTAACGAGAGTTAAAGGACCTGTTGAATGATAATTGTTTTCGACAGGGTAGCAATTTGGGACACTTACTGTTCCTCTTATATACATAATAATGACATTGGGGTGGCCATAAAATACTGTTCGGTTCATTTGTTTGCGGATGATACACTATACACTTATATATTTTTATTTATTCAAAGGATTTGCAATGTTTGGTGGATAAAATTAATTTGGATATGAAGGAATCAAATAGGTGGTTTGATCCAAATTCGCTCAAGCAAGTCAAAATTTATGTTGATCGGGAATTCCATATATCAAAATATTCACATTTTGATTGAATTGAATAAAAATGAATTCATGGAGAAAATTAGGTATCTGAGCACTCAACTTCAAGGACCATGTTATATGTACAGTTGAAAAATTACCGAAAAACATTAATTTTCTGTATAGATTCTTGACACAGTGGTCTAGGATGAGGCTTTTCAATACTTTGGTGCTGATCTATTTCCACTTACTGTATGGTTCAACTGTGCTATATCCGGCGAACAAGAATTGTAGTTTTCAAATTGTTTTTCGTATTGGACATTGTGATAAGTGATTGAGTGTAAAGTGTAATGGTGGATGTGAGGCGATTTTTACAAGAATAGAGTATACATTTATTGTTTGTTTTTTTTTACGTAAAACTTCTTTACGCATGGTAGGGCAAGTTTGTTTCATGCAAGTTGCTATGTAACGAAAACATGCAACGCTAGACATGCCCTCTCTAATATATCCACCATGAAATCAGGAAACCCAATAGATGCAGTATTTGTTAGATATTCAGATAGATCATAGTTCACAATCCAAAAAAAATATTTCATATTTTAGTTATCATAAGAAAATTTTCTTTCTTTCTAGCTGATTAAACACGTCTTAAGACTGGACTCTTTTAGGATTCCAAGGATGCTGAAAAAGGTCAAGTTTTCAAAGATTCCAAGGACCTTGACGAAACTGTTAAGAAAGACTAAAGAATCTGAAAATTTTTGAAGGCATAATTTTTAAAGACTTGAATATAGAATTTTTATTTTTATCTGCATTTTCAAATAGTATAAAACTAAATATAAATTTTAAAAGAAAAAATTAACACTTTTTAAAGGAAATTGAAAAATTACCAAAAACATACCTCCTTATGAAACAAAAAGATAAATTTAATTAACCTACATACATACTATTTCAAAATTTATAATTTTCAAATACCTCAAAGTTGTTAGTAGAAATATTTTGCTAAATAAAATATCTTTTTGGTCATGGAACTATTTTCATGTCAAACCCTTGGTCAGACCTGACCTAACTAATCGTTACTCTAAGTCTAAAGCATCCATTTCCAAGCCAGACACGGGCAAATAAATGAACTCAAATAAAATCACTTTGGTTATAAAACTTGGATAAATTAAACAACCAAATGCATCGGAGTTTTTACCTGAGACGGTTTATTCAAGTTAGCCCTTGAGCTGGAAGCGTTGAAGCCTTGTTCCAAATTGTAAAACATGTTCATCAAGTGACCTGCCATTTTTTTGGTCAACTTCTCCCATTCGGGGTAGCATGTCCTGAACTCTTGAGACAGCATCTTTTGAATTATGTCGGAATCCCGACCTGAGAATATTTTTCAAACAAGTACACAATAATTAAAACAATTATTACTAAAATTACCATCTCTGTTGTCCCAGTAGCCTCGCATTATTTGCCAGGAATCAATCAAACTCATGAATGCGTAGATCGAGTCCCTGGCCGCCCAAAGAATGCCTTTCGTGTTGATATTCAAAACAGTGCTGCACGGTTTGAGAATTGCTGATCTAGTCCGAGCGCATAAGTACTGTACATTTCGGAAGATTAGATTGTCATGATGCCTGTGAGCTATTTGCGCGGCAGTCACACACCCAAACTCTAAAAACAAAACAAAATCCTCCAAGTCCAATTCTGTAACCAACAGCTCATCATCAACAGCTGTGATCTGGCCCAAATCATAGCCTTTTGAAAGGGGTGGTGATTGGAAAGTGGAGCTTGAGTTGGAACACTTATACTGCATGGATCTATACTTCAATGTGCCGAAGGTTATCTCATGTCCAATTGGTAAAATGCTAGTTCTGCCAACTGGCGGTGAATCGTACAGCACCAAAGGAGGAGACATAGACCCGAAACCAAAAGTCTCGTCCTCGGTCTCGTAATCTGAGTAATTTGGATAACTGCCCCAAGGTGAAACGCATTGCAACATCTGCAAGCGGGCCTTTTGGTCCTTTTGCGGGTTCGGGTTGCCTTTGGGACGATCTTGCCGATCCATTCTGTGAAGAAGTCAATTAGTCATTGCCAAAGTTATTGCCTAGGTTGTGCGCACCTACCTTTTTCGGGTAATTGAATTATTCTTAACTGGAATCTGCAAAACAATTAAACATAGGGCGGGTTCTTATCAGTTCACGATTTTTGTGCAAGTTTTGGCTCACAGTTCGGTTCGCTTTTCAAAGTGGAGGTTTTGTTGAAAGTTGGTTGCTAGGCACTGAAAACAAGTGAAGAAAGCTGCGGTCTCACCACCTTTCGCCATTGCCACTACAAATAACACAATCGCAAAACGACTGTTTGAACTGCTAAAACGTTATGTGAAATTTTTGAGGCTTTGGGATTCGGCACTTATCCTTCTTCGGGTAACTGAATTCTGAAATATATGCTTAAATAGGTTCTGCAAAACCGTTGAGAGTTTCATTGGACATGTTTAAAAATGTATTGTTTTGATTGGTTGCTAATACCATGACATTTCTGACAAATGTTTTTTGGGCAACAGTTGCATTCAACCGACAAGAATAATTATTAACTCCACAGAATTCAGCCGAGATCAAGGTTTGGTTGCTACGCGTTGTAGGATCTTCCGTTTTTGACGTTGTGGTACATTAAGCCGCGTCTAGATTAGTAAATAAATGCGTTGCGTTGAATTCGGGATTCGCCACAAATTTTTGCGGCGCAAATTTGGCATCTTGACCAACATAAATATTTGTGTTGTGTGCCGTGCGTTCTTGCTCAACGCGCGTGTGACTATTTTATTTCAGTGTGCGCGTTGCTTGTTATTGGTTTTTTGTTTCGTTCACGAAAAAATGCGTCCACACTAGAACGATGTTGCGCCGCAAATCCCTTTGTCCACACTCGCATAAATTTGTATCGCACACACAAATTTGTGCCGAATACCACGCACAACGTAAATTTTTACTAATGTGGACGCGGCTTTAGTTGCGGCCTACCGCAAATATGCTGCTGGACACTTGAACTTACACATACAGATTTTTAGGCATAATTCATTTTTATCGCTCAGTATATAACCCTACAGGAATGACACACTCAGTGTCTCACCGGTCACACCGGTCACACCGTAATTTTTTGGTGTGGCTGCGGTGTGATTGTGTCTTTATGTCAACAATGTCAACCATTCCTCCCATAATCTCAATAATCCCACCAAATATAAACAAAACACAAAAAAGAATTAAAGTTTTTCCTACAAATTAAAAAAATGAACAACAAAAAAAAGTAATCCTAATAGATTTTGTGAGGAGATGCTCGATTGGTCACACCAAGCGTTCAGAAATTCGTACGAAAGTTGTCGCCTAAGAATTGTCATTTCAGTCACACCCATAAAATCGCACTCACACCCGGTGTGTTATTTCTGAACTCACCCCAGCATTAGAAGCGTTCTTTGTTTATCCATTTCTTTGTTAGATCAGTGAGCCCTAACCGTTTAACTGAAACCATTTAAATGCAAGAAAACCAGCGCATCTGTTCCTTCCAAATCGGGGTCGACTGTCGACTAGGGCGGGTATTATAAAACTGCTTTGACAGTTAACTTGAAGTTAACTTTTTGAATTACATGTTATTGCAGAAGTTAACTCTCAAAGTGGTTTTATAATACCCGCCCTTAGACGACTAGCTCTAAAACTCTTGAAAGAAATACAACTAGGCCGAGTTCAGAAATACCGCACAGGGTGCGAGTGCGATTTTATGGGTGTGCCTGAATTGACAATTGGCAATTGGGCCTATAAGCACCGTCTAGCATTTTTGAACAGCTAGGGCGTCGCACCGGTGTCACACTCACACTGGGTGTGTCATTCCTGAACTCGCCCCTAATGCACGAAACACGTGATATTTAATCGTTTTGAACACACATATGCGCCAACCGCTTGACGCCACAGCATACTGAAAAAAATGCGAGATCGAAGCTGGCGGCAAATTTGTTTTTTTTTTACCGTCATGGTGCATCCAGACCGGTGCAACAAACAGCCCAAAACGTTCGCGAACGTTGCAGAACATTTCAGTTTGGACGGTTGTGCGCTCAGACCTGCTCTCGCGAGCTCTGTTTTGCGCAGCGCAAAGTTTTTCATGCGGTCTCAGTACATAAAGAAAAAATTGTTGCGGCAGTTAAAACGTCATCCACGCTGAGCAGAATGCTTATTGCAAAACGTTATCGCGAAGGTTTTGCGCTGATTGTTGCACCGGTCTTGATGCACCAAGAAGAATATTTCTGCGTTTATATTGCTTGAAGAAGACGAATCGTAGAATGATGTGAGCAGCAAAAATGTAGATGATTGATTCAGAGCGGGTATTATAAAACTGCTTTGACAGTTAACTTGAAGTTAACTTTTTGAATTACATGTAATTCCACAAGTTAACTTTAAGTTAACTCTCAAAGTAGTTTTATAATACCCGCCCTAAGAACGAGAAGTTTGATCATATGTACGTCGATATCGAACGCAGCACCTAAGCTGTATTCGAACAAAATGAAAAATCGGTTCCGTTCCGGATCCGTTACACAGCGTCATGACAAATATCGGTTCCGTTACGGTTCCGGTTCTACCATTAATTTCGGTTTCAACGGTTCATACCGGTATAGTTTTTCGCAAATATCCAGATAAATTTATGTTTTTGTAATTTGTGGTTTATTTTTTATTGGATTTCTCTGCCTGTCTGCAACGCAACTTTATGAGGTTGCTGGTGGCCGTATTATATGACACACGGAAAAGTTGTAAAATACAAACTGTAAATGGTGTTTCATTAGGTCTGTTTCTGCAGAAATCACAAACCAGTCAGAGCGCATTTCATTGGTTGAAAACAGTCAGAAACAGTCAGCAAACTAGTTTCAACCAATGAAATTCACTCTGAATGGTTTGTGATTTCTGCAGAAACAGACCTATAGACTTTAAAATAAATAATATTAAAAATTATCATTATAAAAATAAATAAAAATCTCAAGCCCCCACTACAGTGACTCTATTACCACAGTGGCGACAATTGCTGTCTTCTTTTTGATTGGTTCTTTAAAATCCTATATATTCATATGGAAAACGCCGCCGTTTTGTGCCCAACCTCTTGCTTCTTTTAAATATGGATATATAGGATTTAGGGCGGGTATTATAAAACTACTTTTAGAGTTAACTTAAAGTTAACTTCTGGAATTACATGTAATTCAAAAAGTTAACTTCAAGTTAACTGTCGAAGCAGTTTTATAATACCCACCCTAATTCAAAAAGTTAACTTCAAGTTAACTGTCAAAGCAGTTTTATAATACCCGCCCTTAAATGGACATCCATCATAAAAAATTGAAAACAACGTATCCGATGACTATAATTCGGCACATCAAAGTAGCAAGTAACAAGTTTGGCACAAAATGGCGGCGAAACCTCTATTGTCGCCGCTGTATGTGAAAGTTTATTTAGCCACTGTAGCCCCCACAACGTCAATGTACCAGTGATGACGTATCACAGTGTCGTTTCCCGCCTTGACCTAGGGTGTTTGGTGTTTGCACCACAGGTTGTAATTGCGCTGATTTTTGCTTCATGTATATTTCGTTTTAGTGCCTTATTTAAGCCTAGTACTCATAACTGCGAAATTCGCCTTTTTTTGACATTGCTTCGACAATTTGATGTTTTATGCATTAATCAAACGTCAAATTGTCGAAGCAATGTCAAAAAAGAGCGAATTTCGCAGTTATGAGTACTAGGCTTTAAGCTTCTAAAACAACCCTTGTTTAGATCTCGTTTGCATCTTCCTCTTTGCCTATTATGTTAATCAAAATTAAATAAATATTTAACACTAACGACAGCGTTGATGACATCGGCAACGGTGCAGCATCATACGAACTTGTTTCCAAAAATCGAGGCCGATAGCAATCCTTTCCAACGCTCTGTTCTTTTCTTAAAATTATTAAAGATACGAAACCGAAAAATACCGGTTAGAACCGATTAATTTATATCGATTCCGGTTCTGCCTGCCTCACAACGGTCTGGTCGGGGATTCTAAAATCACGATTCGACATACGACTCGACAGCGAGACGATTTTCCCTACGATTCTAGGTTAGAAATCTCATTGGAATTATACCTTTCGAGACGACAAGGCCGGTATCGTTGTCGAGTCGTGTGTCGAATCGTGATTTTAGAATCTCGGCCCTGTTTCTGCAGAAATCACAAACTAGTCAGAGCGAATATCTTGATTGAAAACGGTCAGAAAACTAGTTTCAACCAATGGAATTCTATCTTACTGGTTTGTGATTTCTGCAGAAGCAGACCTAACATTTCTATGAAATATGGGTTTCATTCCGGTTCCGGTCCGTAATAAGAAAACGGTTCTGTTCCGGTTTTCAGTTCAAGGTCTGTTCGCAAAGAAATCACAACCAGTCAGGAGCAAATTTCATTGGTTGAAGACAGTCAGAAAACCAGTAACAACCAATGAAATTCACTCTGACTGGTTTGTGATTTCTGTGCGAACAGGCCTTAATCCTTCCGGTCTGGGTCCCTGGTTTTAAATACTCTGTCAGCACGAACTTTTTGTCTATCTGGGCGGGCTGGGCGTCGTTAGTTGTATTCCTTTCACACCTAGGAGGCGCTCCGGAACAGCTCCGGGGCTTCACGCGCTTATTCCTTTCGAAAAGTGTTTGTTGCACCACCCATCTGTTCCCTGTAAATCGGGGGCGGCTGAACACCGGAGCGAGTAGCTCGAGTGTTTCAAACTCTTGAAAGGAATACAACTGTTCTCTACTGACTACGACTCTTTTTTCTGCTTCCTTTGTGCTAGGCAACTAAAAACAGTTTCAATTGAACTGGTGACGTCACAAACGTGTAATACTGCGTTGCATTTAGTTCAAGCAGCCAGGTTCAAGTTAGTGCAAGATAGAGAACCCTCGTGTTTCTGCTGCCAGTATCCCTTTGAAATTTTTGAAAAAGAAGAGGTGGTAAAAAATTAGACTGTCTAACCTCAAATTGTGTGATTTTGATTTAAATGTTGCCCGTTCGGCGTTCCTTCAGTAACTTGTTCGTGTGTGGTTTGCCGGTTTGAAATTAAATTTTGGGGTAAAAATGGGTATTGATCAGCAATTATCCGCTGTCGAAACTGAACTATACGATCGCCAAATCAGATTATGGGGCATTGAGTCACAAGAAAGGTGAAATTACTCATTTTTTATATGGCCTGCTAAATGGCTGTAAAAATTTTAGAATACTAACCAGATTTTTATATATTAAGGTTACGAGCCTCGAACGTGCTCCTCATCGGGGTAAGAGGTCTGGGCTCGGAAATTGCCAAAAACATTCTTTTATCTGGCATCAACTCCTTGGTTATTCTAGACGATGGCATTGTATCTGAAGAGGAACAACAGAAGAACTTTTTTTTAACCCAAAACAGTATAGGGAAAATGGTAAGATATAATACTAGATTCATACATGTTTTGATTGATAAAATCTATAGATTGCTGAAGAATTTATCATAAAAGCGCAACTCCTCAACCCTTTGGTCAAACTTACTGCTGACACATCAGACCCAACAAAAAAAGACGCTAAATTCTTCGAAGGCTTCACTATGGTTGTAGCCACACGCATCAAGACTGATTTTCTCATGAAAATTGACCAAATCTGTAGGGCCAGCAAAATCAAACTGCTTTTTGGAGATGTTTTTGGATCATTTGGCTACTCTATCAGTGATTTTCAAGAGCATGAGTATTATGTGGATCAAATTAAGTTCTCTACAGTAAAACGATCTCTGCTTGATATAGGCACAAGGCCTGAAAAATCTGAAAAAGAAATTGTTAAAGTCAAACATCAACTCGTTTTTCCCGAGTTAAAAGAAGTACTTATCATGCCTAATACTGAGCAAAGTGTTGATCATATTAAAAAAATCAGAAAAATAAATCCCTATTTTTATTTCATGCTGAGTAAGTAGTTACAGTTTTGCTTTCAAGAATCGTCAAAACTCATTAGCTTTTATTTCAGTTCTATTGGAATTCCGCAACAGGCAAGGCCGTAACCCTGAAATATCTTACAAAATCAAAGATGTTCAGTTATTGAAAGACATCAAAAAGGAGGTTCTACGTGACTATGGTGCAGATCGCTTTGAAAGTGAATTGGATGATGATTTATTTGAGCTGGTTTTTGGTGAAGTTGTTCCAGTTTGTGCTATAGTAGGTGGGGTACTGGCGCAGGAAGTTATCAAGGGTGTATCTAAAAAAGAAGTCCCTATTTATAATGTGTTTTTGTTTGATCCATTAACTTATTCTGGTAAAGAACAACTTATAAAGACCAGTAAGCAGTATTAGATTATTTAAGTATTTAACTAAATTTAAGTATAATATGTCTAGGGTAGTTCTGAGAGTAATGGACACTGATTCAGTAGAGGACCTGTCTGCCTTGAGAACTCCTGAATCTTTAAACTGTACCTTCAATTTATTCGATTTTCTGATAACTATGCTTGGTTGGCTATGCTGCTGTTCCCCTTAGTTCGGCTAAATCATTCCTTTTTGAAGTCCTTGTGCAAATATTAGATTGTGTCACTATAATTATTGTCAATATGATATTGTTTTCGTGTAGCACAGTCTAAGGTAAGTATACAATTCATCTAGCCATGAATTATGCAACTACCTCAGTCAACAATCAGAAAAAATGAAAACTTTCACAACTTTTACATTAGCGCAGAAAAACTTTTTGTGCATCTTTGCAAGTAGATATCGTAAGTGAAAAATCAAGGCGATTTGATTGAACTTGCTCCATTTGTTGATTACAAAGGTTGTATTAAAGTAAATGACAGTAATTGGAACGTTTCCTGCAGATCTCAAAGTTCTAACCCCCAAGTTAGTAATTCCCAAGGTATTTCCATACAAAAAAATGCCAGAAGCTAAAGTGAAATCTGTTCTTACAAAGCATTCCAAATGAAATTGTCCAAAGTGGCTGGAAGTCCCAACTATTATTCAACAAGCAAAACAAGCTTCGTCATATCCATCAATTACACCCATCAGGTCTGGAAGATATATTGCCGAAAAAATATGATTGCTCTTTAGGGGATGCCCAAGAGTTTGCTGCTTTCCTTTTACCAATGTTGCAGTTTGATGTGGACAAAAAAGCTACCGCATCAGAATTAGGGTTGGGTAAATTTCACTTTTCACTTCATCTGGAAATTTCACTCTGAAATTTTCATGGAAATATTGAAATTTTTAAAATTTCCGTGAAATGTTCAAAATTTCTGAATTTTTCTGAAAATTTCCAAAATATCATGAAATTTTCTAACTGAAATGATTCACTATGAAATTTTCAATGAAATTTCATAAAATTCCATGAAATTTTCTATAAAATTCCATGAAATTTTCTATAAAATTCAATGGGCTCTCACTAATTTTTGAAATTGGCATATTTGGATAAAGCAACTAAAAACAGAATTTTCTGTATTTTTACTTTTGAAAAATTCATAGTCCTTCTTGAGAAAACAGAAAAAAAAGAAATGCCTCCAAATAAAAACCCAGAATTTATTTCTATGACGTTGCAGCTCGCAATTTGACCGTGTTGCCACTAATTGACAACATTGAAAATTTGTAATAGATTTAATTCTGAAATGTTCGCAAAATATGAAAAGTAGGTAAATTAATTAGTTAGTATTCGAGATTTTATAACTTTTTTATTGAAATTATGCTTAAACACAATTTAATAGAATTTTTTATGTTTAGTTTTATTTATTTTTTTTTACATTGCACTACATTTAGTCACCACCGACAACAGCGCATTCGAGCCTTTACCTGCTTTTACACAGCCGAAGCGGTCAGCTCCTTGCAACAACAAGCGAAATGAAAAATATTTATGTGACGTCAGCAAATCGGCGCGTTTTAAATCAATTTGAATTTCGCCAATTTCAAATGCCTGTAAAAAACTTATTTAACCTTGTAGAACATTTTTTTTTTGGTATACAGAATGTTTGAAGCACCCATGGCTGAACTTCAATAAGCCCCTGTAAATAATTGTTTAAAGAGATAATTCATTCTGCCTTTCAAAATTGTTGTTGATGAAAAAGCGAAAATCCATGGTTTGATATTTCATGCCATCAATATTGAAAAAAGGACTCTTATATTAAATGTACTATTTTATAAATTTACTATTTTATAAATGCATTATAGCTCTTTTCCCACACAATCACACAAAATACCGATATTGCAGTTTTCAAACCACCAAAATGTGGATAGGAATCTCTCAGAGATTGGAAATTAGAAAATTTCAGAAAGGATGTACCTGGGTCTTGAAATTGGACTAACCTGTGCCAGAAATGGTTATTTTTGGATGTAATTTATTTATTTCATTTACTACAGTTGCAAGCAATGGTCGTATGCAAAGATTTTTCAAGGAGAATATTTCTCGTATCGTTGACGGTACGGTGACGTGTCGGTGCCGGCACGTATAGTATGAATCGCGCTTTAGGCGTGCCATAATCTTAAAGCTAATAATGACGTGAAGTCTGAAGTTGATAAATTCCTTCTTTAATTAAGGAAAAAACTGGGAATAAACCTTATTGTGCATTATAATTGAACTTGCTTTGGGAGAAGTTTTCTTTATAACTTGTAAACCGACTTTAGCATATAATGCGCATAGATGGTAATTCTATAGTTTCTTTACATCTGCATAATCACCTCAATGTAGGTAGGGTTTTAACATGCTAGGAAACTGTAGAGAAGTTTTTAGATAAATTTACATTTAGGTAGGTATTATTTTGTACAACTTTGGGGACGTTGATTTCATATCACTAAAAGTCCACTTGAATAATCCATTCACTGTTAAATTAGTGTTTGACTGTTACTGGAAACCATTCAACCCCCAAAATAAGTATTTCAGTAGTGGAATCCACCATCTCCTAAAAAGCTGGAGCCTCAAGTACAAACATCCAGCTGACTTTCAGAACTACTGTGCTCAAAGTTTTTGACCTTTATTCTACTTTTCTAATAAAACTCTTGTTTATTAGTTAATTTCAACCTGGCAGAGGTTACACAACAATAAATATCATATCAGGTAAAAATAGATCTTATGACGGTATTTTAAGTTCACGGGTAAGAAATTACGAGACTTATTATTGTACCGAATCGCCGGCGTATCTTGATTTAAACGCTTTTGTACTAGATAATTGAAAATATATTTTTCAGTGGGAACTATTTTTAGAATACACGCAGCTTCTTTTGTTTTATAGCTAATATTGGACAGTGATCAAAGGTTTTCCATACAATAATTATCATTTTAAATTTTGTATGCTTTGCACTAATTCGTTCCGCCTATCCGTTCATGTTGCCAAAAGTCATTATTATTTTACTAATTTAAATTTTATTGTTTTCTTGTTATTTCCTATTAATCATTCCAGTTTGCTTTAGTACCGTTAAGCTTTCGAGATTTTCTGTTTTCGAAATATTGGATGGAATTAGCCGAACACAAAATAGAAAAGGTTTATGAATTCTGTTTATCAAAACTCGCAGAGCTTTGTGGAAATGTTAAGTAGCTTTTGAGATGTAAATCCATATTACGCATTTGGAAGAATTCTGAAATTATAGTTAGCAGTTAGCAGATTTGAGGGAAAAAACTGGGATTAACCCTACAATACCGTGATCTAAATGCAGTAACCGTAAAATATACAAGGTGTTACTAAATATCATGTCATTGAAGGAGGTAAGTCTTTGGGATATTCTATGGAAATTCATGTGAAGATGTGCCCTATATTGCATAATATTTGGAGATACAGGGCGGTAAAGTTTCAAAAGAAAATCAGTTTTTCAACTTTATCATAAATACTCTGCTTCTTGCATCCCACTGGGTGTCATGTTATATTCGAGTCTGTTATTTAACTAAAACACATAGTAATAATTTACTAAAGACACTCGTTTATTGGTTTTTCTGGTACCTTACATTATGCAATTTCTCCCCATAACATGATCCTAATTTTCCTCGTATCTGTCACCCATGTCATTAGCTAAAGGTCGATTTACATAAGTAAACACAAGACATATTTTCTAGCTAGCGAGAGTACCTAGTATAAGAAAAAAAATAATTTTTAATCTAAGTACAAACATAGTCACTCAAAAAACTTAAAGAGTCTTCAACATGCGACCAAATCTTGAAACCGGATTTGTCATAGCCTTTGCATTGTCCGGAATATTATTGTGATGAGACAAGTTGGTACAGTCAATTAGGCTTTCAGTTTCTAAATTATCAGTTTTCTCGATTGTATCATTACAATTCTTTTTAACAACAAAATCATATTTATTATTATGATCATTTTGAAATTTGATGTTTGTTGATGCTTTATACAAATTAAATCTGTTTCAAGATTACCTGTAGAAAGCTGGACAAAATAGGACCTTTTTTGGTGCTATTGTATATATACTTTCATGATTTTCCATCTTTTTTTTAGAAGCGCGCTTTTATATTTTGATCAGTGATTTGTCTAGTAGTGCAATCGTGAGTTATTTTTATGCGCATTTCATTGATTTTGTGTATAGAAAGACAACTGTTTTAAATATACAACATCCTCAGATTTAAAATACCTACTACATATTCAGAGCCAGACTTCTTATTTTTCCATATAACTACCCCATTTAATTTTTTTTACATATTTTATATCCCAAAAATTATATTTTTCCAAAGTGTTCATTACTGCCTCCAAATAGTGTCCATTACTTAGTCAGCATTTGTCATTAAAAAAATGATATTTTATTTGTAAAACCTAATAAAAGTTACTGATGACTCTGTTATATGTTATGTGATGTTTAGTTAGTACACTTATAACTGCACCACCCTACATTATCAAAGATGCTGATCTCTACAATCGTTTTTTCATAGGAGGATTCAGTGTCCATGACTACCTCGACCTGAACTACCCTATCGCTTGTATTTGTAAGCTTTGATACTTTTTCTTCATAAAATTAAAATGTGAAACTTGTATAGTAGTAATTTTTTATTCCCTATCCTAGCGCCATTATTTTTTTAGGGAAATTTATATTTGAACAATATATTTTTTGGCAATGTAATTACGTAAAACAAAATACCAATTATTCAGTTTACAAGGAAACCGAGTTGCGTAATGTATGGTGGAATATATTTGAGTAAAGTATAATTTTCTCTGTTTTTTTTTTGATGCCTTACATTATTACAAACATGCACCATAATAATTTATTCAAAAACTCACTTTTCTTAAAGTAAGCTTTCATATGCTGCCACTGGAAATGAAAGTGGGTTTTATTTTGGTCCCACTTGTGCATAATTTGATTATTTCCTTTGCCTAGCTTATAATTGAATGACCAAGAAGAAAAAAAAAAGCAAATTTGACAAAAAAAAGCTACCTGTTATTTCCGTAGCAACGCAAGATATCATGAAAGTTGCAAAAAGCGTCCAGAAGACAGTCAATCTCGCATGAAGAATCATTTCACCATGTACCAGTTTCCAGATTCTTCGAAGGATTTCTCAGCATCTAAGTATAATAAAGCTTCGTTCAAAAGCGGTTTCGGCACAACTGAAAAAGAGTTTAAAAATTGGGCTTTCCACTGGTCCCGCTTAATTTTCGGCTTGGGTTATTTGGATTTCGAGAAGGACTTCGACAAGGTACCACACCAGTTTTTCACTCTTAAACTGAGTCATTTACTTGCTTTCCTTCGGATGTTCCCAACAAACAGAAAATTTCGGGTGGGGGTAAATGGCACGCTGTTTCACACATTGTTGAATGGAGTTCCTCAAGGCTGAGTCCTTGGACAATTGTTGTTCCACATCAGTGACCTAGCAGCAGATATAAAATCATCAATAATTGTGTTTTATGCTGATGACACAAAGCTGTATGCAAACACCCACACGAATTATGAGGATCTTCACGAGGATATTAAAAAAAATTGAACTGTGGTGAGACAAATGCAGAAAGGAACAAATGAAGAAAAGTGCATAGTCCAGATTGTGGGCTCTTATTTGTCTGGAGTTGCCTTATACCATAAATTGTGCAGTTCTTAACCATGTGAAACCTTAATATGCACATATACCTACTATATGGAATCTATGATTTATCAAGGATATAAAAATGTTGGAATGTGTTCAGCGGAGAGTGACTAATATTCCGCAAGGACAACTATACATAATGATAGCTATGAATTCGCCTTTGAATTTAACTATCATAAGATCAAATATCAGGAGACTAAAGTTGATTTAATAGAGGCATATACAATTTTCAATGGCTATAACGATTTCGTTTAAATTATTTATTAAGTGAACATTTTACAACTGGTGTAGATTTTTGATAAATATGAAAACAGAGGAAAAATTTAAGCTCCCAAAAAAACATTTAACCGAATTGTATATCAGTGGAGCGTATTGTTAGAAGAAGCTATGGAAAAAGGCTGCCACATACGCTCAGTTTTTTTGCACAGGTTGACTCTCCAAACTTGGTTTGCGCAGGCATATCTACACGTCTATGGATACATCCGGCCGACTGTGCAGACCGTTGGCCTGGGCGAGTAAATTCAAGATCTGCTTGAAATTTGGCCTGCACGGACCATGTACACTTTAGAACAAAAATATCCTTTAAAAGCCCCCACAGACGCTCCGTTGTTTTGCAGAGGCAAACCTGGGTAGTTTGCGCAGGCATATCGGCACGTCTGTGGATAATTCCGGCCAACTGTGCAGGCCGTTGGCCTGGCCTCAGTAAATTCAAGATCTGCTTGAAATTTGGCCTGCACATACTATATTCACTGTAGAACAAAAATATCCGGAAACTGCGTTTGCCGTTCTCCGTGGAAAGAACTGTGCTAAAAACTGTGCGTGTGTGCGAGGGGCGCATAATTCTATTTGCGCAAATTGGCCTGCACAGTCAGTCTGTGCAAAAAAACTTAACGTCTGTGGGGGCCTTAAGCTGCGTTTGTCGTCATGTTTAGAAAGAACCTGTGCTAAAAACTGTGCGTGTATGCGAAGGGCACGGGCATAGTTTAATCCACGTAAATTGGCCTGCACAGTCAGCCCGTGCAAAAAAACTGAGCGTCTATAGTGCCAGAAATTTGAACCTTTCCAAAAATATCTTGTGGTAACCCTGAATTACCGCAAATCTTATCTAGAGAAGACTCATAATCGCATATTCCGGAGCTGAAATATCACATTAACCAGTCATCATCATCCTAGGCGATCACTCGATACCGAGTATGATTATCTTCTATTCTATATTCTTATTGTGGGTTTTCTGATGGCTATATAAACCAATTCTGGAGCCGCACACTCTCCCACATACTTGGCACACCCAGTCTCTGGCAGCATTGTCTCTTCCCCTGTTCTATCGCTCCTTCCTGCGGTCCCTCTTTTCGGCCTCCTATCTGCGTCGCTTGTTTGCAAAAAATTGTGAGTTGCTGGTATCGATACGGCACGTTGCCATATTTTCTTTTAGAACATCTTTATAGCGTGTCTTCTGTAGGTGGTCCATCTTTCGCAGCCATATGTGAGTCTTGGTATTACAACTGCATTGTAGACGCGAAGTTTGGTCTCAACGCTGATGTCATGATTGTTGAAGACTCTCTCTAGAAGTCGCCCGAATTCGCTTTTGGATTTCAGCGTCAATGGTTGCATTCGCTGACAGATTGCTCCCAAGGTATGGGGTAGCGTTCTACGTTCTGCAACGAATGGTCATTTATAGTTATATTTGGGGCTTGGGGATTAGTATCCGGTGCGGGTTGGTGGAGAATCTGCGTCTTGTTTAAAATGACCTCTAGGCCCATTCTCCTGCATGCCTGCTTGAATGCATTGATAATTGCCTGAAGATCTTCCTCTGTATTGGCCATCACGACGTTATCATCCGCATATTCAAGTTCGATTATCGATGTCGTCGATGCTTTCGTCTTGGCTCGTAATCTGTTTAGGTTGAATAAGCCGCCATCAAGTCTGTACAGGATTTCTACTCGTGACGGCACTCGTGGCCCTCGACAAGGTGAAGTATGGATCCTATAAATAGAGAAGATAAAGTGTCGCAATAACACAGTCCTGTTTAAATAACATAATCCTGTTCAACGCCTGTAGTCATTTGAAAAGACTCTCCTTGTCCATGGTTGCTATTAGGATAGTTGCATTCATATTATTATAAACTGTGTTATCATGCAGTAGGCGGAGTATCCGGATGTACTTTTGCGGACACTCAACTTTTGCCAATATCTTCCAAAGACCTTCTCTGTTGACCGAATCAAATGCTTTGATTAAATCTATGAAGGCCCATGTAAAGAGGGAGAAATTTTTTTCTCTCACTAGACACTGTCATTTGAGATTTTGCATGCTATAAAAGGACAGGGTACCTGTTGTTCTCATTGGTACATCTGCTTCCTCGTTTCGAGAATTAGGCGCCTCTTGGATGAACAGAACAAAGAAAAAGTTAGAATTACTAACAAAAATCAGCACAAAAAATACATATGAATAAAAGTACCTATAAAAGAGGTAATGAATAGTGAATACTTAGGTACCTACCTACTTTGAATGACAACGTACCTACCTACCTAATAATCGCGTTGAATCGAGTATTGAGTAATCAAGTAACGAAAATCAACATCTCTAGAAAAAAAAAAACAAAAAGCGAAAACAATCTGTTTGTGGTAGGCCAGGCCAGAATAAACATAGTTGATGAACTATGAAGTGTGCCGCGACCGCCCTCAGACTTCTGATATGCCGGCCGGCCCTATTTCGTTTAATTTTAATTTGCTGATTCTGATTCACAAAGCAAATAAAAATTAACACACAGTTAATTGTACCTTGAAATTCCTGTTTTTTTTTTTAAGTAAGTAAAAAAAGTTGATATCTGGTACATTATAGACAAATTACCAGAGTCCACAGAAACTCGAACTTTAGGATAAACCGATAAATAAACATATTTTTCTAGTATAGTGCTAGTGCAAGGTACAAGTGTGGCAACACTGGCAAGGCTGACACAGATGTGGGATATTGAATGTTTTCATGGTAATTTAATAATTTTGTTACAGTTTTGTTCTGGTTTTAGTTGATATGTTGCTCTAATAAAAATAAATAAATAGTGCCAGTGCAATAGTCAGTGTATGTACTAGATTTAAGAAATATGTATTGTTTAACAGGAAATTAGTTAAAGTTGAAAGCTTGGGGAAAAAACGGAATGTGTAAGGAAATGCAGAATTCTAACCTTTATTTGTTTCAGGTTTAAGTTACAATTTTTACTGTTAAATAATATAGATCAAATGAACAAGCTAACTTGGTTAGTACAATGTCATAATATGTTCTAAAACAATTAGTCAGTCCAAATTTGTTCCTTTCCACCTATCAATTTTTAATGTAAACAATTTAATCTGTTTCCATAAATAACTTAATTAATTTAGGTTTTGTTTGAATTTTGTAGGACTCACATTATAAATAAACAATATCCTAGACTGTTAAGTGAAGAATGATGGGTGACACAGGTGGTAATGTACTGCATATTGGAGATATTGTGTCCCTGTACGCAGAAGGGACTGTTTCTGGATTTTTAAGTACTTTAGGGTAAGTTTCGATGCTGCTTATTATTATAATTTTAAATTTAATGATACAGAGGAAACCGAGGAGGAAACTCTCAATAGCGACCAGACTCTGGGAATCAAACGTAATTCGTTAAACAGGGGTCATCATTTAACAGAAGAACATTAACATATATATTTTACACTGTTCATTTATTAATAATTCACATGTACAGGATGGGCCAATTTGGACACTTTTAATAGGGAACGTCAATTTCTGAGCGAGATACAAAAAAACGAACCCCCCACTCTGAGGCTCAAATTTCATGAAATCTTGATTGGTGCAAACCGCATTTTGATATCTTCAACCGTTTAGCCGCTACAGGGCGATTCTCGATTTTGAGAAATACTGTGAAACCTTCATAACTTTTTTGTTTATGAACATAATTGATTTCCGTAAAAACTTTCTAGAGGAACTTCTCAAAACAGAATTCAGTGACGTTCTCAGTTTTTTTCTATTTCGCCCCTATTTCGAGATATTGACCAAAGCCCGATATTTTCCAATGGGACCCCCTTTATATTAATAGCTCATCAGAAAGCTCTGCTTTTGCTGATTTCAATGGTATAAAGTTCGATAGGTTTATCTCTAACAGTTTCGGAGAAAAAAAAACTGTTTTTGTCATAAGGAACCATGTGTTAGAAAGAGACCTTGCTCATTTTCCTTACAGATATAAAGTCCTTTTCTAACACATTGTTTCTTATGACAAAAATCGATATAATTTTTTTCTCGAAGACTGTTAGAGATACACCTATCGAACTCTATATCATTGAAATCAGCGAAAGCAGAGCTTTTCAATGAGCTATTGATATACCGGGTGCCCACGAGATCACTTTCCAGCTGCCATTTTTTTATTTGTCTATCGATATCAACGAAACTTGGTAGGAATGATATTCTAACGAAACGCCATTTTTATGCATTTCTGACAAGTTTTCCTGACTTCCGGTGACCCAGAACTTTTGATTTTTAAATGGCACACCCTGTATATTTTTTGTTTTTCGGATTCTACAGATCGTTTTACGTCCTAATGCACCACTTTTGCATCGAGTTTTGTTCAAATTTTGTTTTTAAATTAAATTTTAATTTTTGAACTAGAGTGCCATGATCACGCTAAAATGACTCTACATACTTCACTGAATTTCAGAAAAATACAAACTCAATTTTATCTTTGTAAATTTTTTTGATACAGGGCTGTAAACTTCATTATTTTAGTATTTTTGCCCTAGCTCAAAAACTAGAATAGAAACATATCACTTTCATAACATTACTAAATGCAGTATTTTGAAGCGAATCCAATGATACAATACACTACGTCATTTTTCTTAATTTTCGTTCAAATATTTTCATTTCATTATGTGATATTACCTTGCATTTTTTGGGACTTACACCTCAATTGAAATTAATACCAGAAGTTTCTTGATCTTATGTGGGTATTTTTATTATTTTTTTCTACTTGAAATTTAATTTGAAAACGAAATTTAAAAGTGGTACATTAGGACGTAAAACGATCTGTAGAATCCAAAAAATAAAAATATACAGGGTGTGCCACTTGAGAATCGAAAGTTTCGGTAATTTCCGGTGAAACCGGAAGTCAGGAAAACTTGTCGAGGATGCACAAAAATGGCGTTTCGTTAGAATATCAAGGTTACCAAGTTTCGTTCATATCGATGAACAAATAAAAAAATGGCAGCCGGAAAGTAATCTCGTGGGCACCCGGTATAGGGTGTCCTATTGGAAAAAATCGCACTTTGGTCAATATCTCAAAATCAGAGCCAGATAGAAAAAAACTGAAAACGTCACTGAATTCTGCTTAAAAAAAGCTTTCAGAAAGTTTTTACGGAAATCAATTATTTTCATAAATAAAAAAGTTATGGAGGTTTCACAGTATTGCTCAAAATTGAGAATCGTCCTCTCGCGTCTAAACGGTTGAAAATATCATCATTTCATGAAATTTGAGCCTCAGAACGGAGCGTTCATTTTTTTGTATCTTGCTTAGAAATTGACGTTTCCTATTAAAAGTGTCCAAACTGTCCCACCCACAAGAATGGCAACAGACACAAACCAGAAAAATATCACTCATAAGTATCACATGCAACTCATGTACTTAAAAATACTTTTTGTGTCAATTTATATGTAAGTAAACACTGCATTCACAAATCAAAATCAAAATATATAGACCGTGAGATAGGGCCTGTTTAGTGGAATCATTTTTTTTTGTCTGGCATTTTGAGGGATGAATGTGGCTAGTTAGCTGATTAGAATATAGGTGGTTTTAGTGCTTGCCACCCGAGTTGCCACCTGTTCGAAATGTCCACAGAATGTTTCGCCGGAAAACTCGACTTCGAACTGGGATTACCGTCTGGCGATTTTTCAGCGATATTTCCACAAAAAAACCTTTCATTCTCTCGATTACCAAACAAAAAGTAAACGCGGAAGCTTCTTTTCTTTTCTCTTGGAAAATGACACTCATCCCCACTTTTTCAGCTATTGAAAAGCATCTGGTATTTTTTATGGGTGAATTATTTATCAATGTCAATCTTTTATTTAGAAGCCAAAAAATTTGAGATCATTAAAAAAAAATCCTCATGTAAATCAATTTTTTTCTTCTGCAAATTTTCGAACGGGAAGCAGGCATTAAAACCACCCATATTCTCATCAGCTTAGTAGCCACATTCAGCCCTCAAAATGCCAGGCAAAAAAAAATGACTCCACTAAACAGGCCCTATCTCACAGTCTAATACTTACCTACATAAATTTAAAAAAAACCTAAATATTAGCCATAATGTCTAGCAGTGTGTACCATACATCATACATACTACATGTCTTTGGACTAATATTCTTATTTTGATTCAAAACTGATTATAACAACTAATCTCATCAGCCTAAAAAACAAATTAAATGTATCCAACTAGCAATGAACATATTGAAGTAGTTACACGTTCTTATATTTCTTGAGAAATGTTGGGTTTTTCTGCCCCTAATGAAGGGTGTATTTAGCATCAATGTGTACCAATGATTGGTTTGATAGGTGCCCGTGGTAGTTTCACGGATAGCTTAGCGAAGAGGATCATGAAATAACGAGATTTCCATCTGCATATACTGGGAATATATAATCGTATATTTAACACAGGTGGTCCCTTTATAGGAGTGGCTGGTACCAGAGGTTTTACTATTCACTTGTAGTTCTGTTTGATTCTGTTTGATCAATGTGCCAGTAAGCTACCTACCCTTGAAGCTACCCAATGTAGAAGTTGGGTTACCCTCAGCAAATTTAAGTTCTGCTATTGCCGATGCAAAGTTTCAATCCGATCTGATTTCTAACATCGTTATCAGAACAACATTCAACATTCGTTCTAAGTCAGAAGATGCTGCTGTCGTGGGGTCTCCTGGCTACAATGTACATATAGACAACTTGGAAAAAGATCAAAGAAGGTTTTTGAAGTACTTATCGTTTAGGAGTGATGGTTTCTACCCAGAACAGGGTCAACCCTATCCTGATTTCCTAGCGAGATTCAATTTTTCATCCTTGCAAGCTCGGAGAAACTGTTTTGCAATAATCACCCTAATAAATAAATTCTTTATTTACGGACATGCCATTTTTACAAAGGTAGACTTAAAGTGTAGGTACACGCAATAATAAATATTTGGAATAACAAGTAGGCAACAGACAAGTTAGTATAAAAAAACAATATTACATAAGCCTAAACAAATATTTTGTAGTAGGTATCAAAACATAAACAACATAATACGCTTAAAATTGAATACAAATAGAAAAAACGATCATTTTAGGATCGACTTTAAAATTCTTTTGAATCTATCCAAACTTATGTTAAAAACATCCAAATCAGTCTTCAAAATAATATCATTCAGAGAACGACAGCTTCTAAGTAAAGGTGAATGGTAACCATAATTGGTTCTACGAAAATCAAGGTTAAACAATGTGTTTCCTCTTAAATTGCTAGATGGTACATGTAAGCCAATTCTAGCAAGTAAGTCTGGAGAATCAATAGAATTATTAACAATCTTAAACAAAGTACACATATCAAAAAACTGTCGCCTCTGGTTCAGATTTTCAAGATTTAGGACAGACATTAACTCATTATAATTTATAGATTCACTTGGGATGCCCAATCGATATGCAATGGATCTTAAAAACTTTTTTTGGATTCGTTCCAAGTGGGAGATGTGCACAGCATAATAAGGGGACCAGACAGGGCAAGCATATTCTACAACTGATCTAACAATTGCACAATAAATGTTTCTTAGGGTGTAGATATTAGTAAATTCTTTTAGTGACCTGAACATAAAGCCTAGTAATTTCATTGCTTTATTAGCAGTTATTTCAATGTGCTCTGTGAAGCTTACATTAGTGTTGAAATAGACTCCCAAGTCTCTAATAGTTTCAACCCTGTTAATCTCCAAATTATTAAGAACGTAATTATGTAAGTATGGTGTTTTTTTCCGAGAAAAAGTAATAACCTTACACTTCTCAACATTTAAGGGGAGTTTGTTTCTTTGACACCAAGTCCGAAACATATCCAAGTCCACTTGCAATAATTGAGCATCCCTGACATCCCGAACAACCATAAAACACTTCAAGTCATCAGCCAAGAGCAAAAAATCGGAATTTCTGAAGACACCTGACAGATCATTAATAAATATACTAAACAGCAAAGGAGACAGGTGTCCTCCCTGAGGCACCCCCGAGGTCACCGAAAATACTGAAGAGATGTAATTCTCAATTTTTACAGCCTGTTTTCTACCTGTGAGAAGACTTCCAATGAAGCTCAATAGACCTCCATGCAGCCCCACATCGGCCACCTTCTCCAATAGTATCTTATGGTCAACCCTGTCAAAGGCCTTGGAGAAGTCAGTGTAGACCGAGTCAATCTGACACTTATTCTCCAAGCCCTCCAACAGAGCCTCCTCATAGACCAGAAGATTAGTCAATGTAGATCTACCCTTAATAAAGCCATGCTGTTCCGGTA